ATTTTTAAGTTAAATAAGATGAAAGTTTAATTTTTAAAACATACGGTACAATCATGGAAATGCACACACACAAATATTTAAGCTAAATAAGATGGAAATTTTATTTTTAAGAATGAAATAACTAAAGACTTAGACAAAGAAAATAGTAAAAAAAAAAAACTAAATAAGGTGAGGTATTTTTGTAAACAAACAACTTATTCTCAAAAATTATACAATGAATATTAGTTTGAATATGACAAACCAAACAAGCAATAAAAACTAATCCCAGCATAACTTATCCCAATATAACTTATCCCAGCATAACTAATCCCAACATAACTAATCCCAGCATAACTTATCCCAGCATAACTAATCCCAGCATAACTAGTATTCAAACCAAACGACCCCTGAATTCTTTGGGATCAGCTTTACTGAGTGCAGCTCCATTTGCCCTTCTGTTCTGGACATAGCTTTCCAGAAGCAGTGACTTTAGCCCTTTACTACTCAAGGAGGACATATTCTGGCCAATATGGTTGTAACAGTGATTTGCCTTTTCATGACGAAACATTAGTTTTGGGCTTTTCCTGTTAAAGTTCTGAATATTTACCTTTTCTTTTGCTAGAACTTCCACATTAATTTCTACCTTTGTTCTTTCTGTTACTATAGAAAAAGTGTTTTTTATCCTTGCTTTAATCTCATTGTACATATATTCACGCCAAAATATATCTACAACATAGATGCATCAAACACTTTGTCCTTCCTACAAGTAAAGCAATCAACTATTTTGTTTAAATGGTTCCAATCATGGATATAATGCTCTTTCACCACCCTTCTCCCACACGTGGCCACTATGAAAGGGACAACTTCTTTGAGATTGATAGATTATAATGTGAGCTAAGAAGTCAACTTACAGCTTGACAAGTTGAAGTCCTGAAATCTCTCAGATTGGTAGCTCTAATTAGACAGTAAATCACATCTTTGGCTCAAACCATCGTGATTGAATAAGCCTTACTGTTCCATTTCAGCTGTAATAGCAATGAAATAGGATTTCACCCACACATATATCAATCTTTACAATTGCATATAGCTACTGGGAACAGTACCACATACCTCAGCAGCTAATAGATGCCTTCTAGGTCATGTATGCATGTCATCCATCTTCTATCTTCAACATAACTTCTGATGTGTGCTTGTATCCACACTACTTACATCAACACTTTTTTCAGAAGTCACATAACTGCTCTGAACCGTCACATAATTATTGGACACTTAATTTTTCTTCTATTTAATGATGCTCTCCACTTGCATGTCGCCAATGCAGGCAAGAAATTCTTCACTTATATAAAGCAGTTACAAAGTAATGGCTTGATTCCTCATTTGAAAAACTATGTCCGGACAATTTGTCTCTTATTGAGCCAGAAACGATGGAATCACTTGTCTAATTCAACAATTTTTGGATTTATTCAGGACAGGTGAATCTTATACTATACCAAATGTATTGACTATGTGTATATAGCAATAGCATACTTACTTTTACAAACAGCCAAACATTCCAGCAGTTAGAGAAATCTTTTGATGCATGATTTTATTGGGTATGGAGATTTCTTAACCAAAAGCACATGAGACCATACAGCATCCATCTTTTTCAGGTAAAGGAGCAAAACCATGTTTGGTACAAAGTAAGAAAATTCCAAAAGCACATATTTTAGGCGGAAAATGCTTTGCTAAGAAAATCACTTGCCTCAACAGTAGCAAGTTTTCGGTGGCGTAGGAAGGAAGTAGAAAATGTTGCACGCACTTATTTATTAAATTATTTCCAATAATTTCAGCAACCAAACACCATAAATGAATTTCACAAAGGAAGCCACACCAAAAAGGCCCAAGTTCACATACTTGTTCATAATACTGGTTAGCAACAAATTCAACTAACTCATTATATATCTGTCATCTCAATTTTCCTTCACATGACACTAAGTAACTTGCCATAAAACAATTAAACTAGCCAGTACATACGAAGAGCACAGAGAAATCATCAATTGTTTCCTAATTCTACAACTACACATAAACTAATTCACTTTAGCCAACAAAAGGTATACATCATCAATTGATTTTTTATTCAACAAAAGGGTGAAAAGTATAATACAAAGCGAAAACTGTACAACACTTTTATATACTGAGAAGACACCGTATATTTACAAGCAGTTAAGAGAATCTGAACAATGAATCATGGGTAGGAATAGAAGCAGCAGAAACAGCGACAGCAGCGCCTGAAGCAGCTACAGTACAAGTAGCGTGGCTGTGATCGGCGATTGCCAGTACCAGAGTTTGATGGAGCAGTAGTGGAAATCGGCACTGTGTTCTCCATCAGCAGTATTGATGAAGATTCTCAACTTTCGTTCGGGTTCGATAGAAAAGGACTGAAAATGAAGCTCATTACAGGGGTGTTGGGTATGGAAGAAATATTTCAATTTTCCTATGGGTTGGATAATTTTTTTTGAAAACACAAGTTCTTAAAAATGATAGGAAATTGTGTCTTTTTCAGAGGTGGATGTTTGATTCTTTTATTCGATTTTTATGGAACTTTGATTTGATTTTTCAACTTTTTATTTTGAAAAAGTATGCAATTGAACGATGAACCAAATTAGTTTGATTCGGTTAAGATCATATTTATCTTTGTGAAGAATATTGTGCCTTCAACTACTGCTCGAGATTCCTTTATATGACGTAATCAACAAAAATTTGTTTGACTTTCTCTTGAAAATTAGTATTTCTTTCTTTCTTTGTTGTCTTATGAAGACCTTTTTATACAGGCTTGATCTAGGATTTTAGAGGTATTTTGCTCTTCAAGTAATTTTAGAAGACCTTGAGCTTGAAGAGCATGAGTTGGGCACCTCCAGTCAACTTAACAGACTGTTACAAATGTAATTTAGACTTTATTTAAGTTATATAATTGTAACTTAAATATTAGTCCAACTTTATTAACCAACAGTTTGACTTGGTCAAATTATCATGAATTTAATATTTAATCCAAAATTTAATAAGGATTTATCAATAAAACTTCCTTGTCTACACACATATAAATTTACAAAGATTAATTGATCCAATAAATCAACAATAGTAGCAACTAGCTTTTCTTTTACAAATTCCTTTACGTGACACAAAAATCTCTTCAAGTCGAGTATGAGTCCTTTTTTTGTGGTAAAATTTAAAGTTATGGGTCTTTTTTTAATAAAATATAAGCCTATGGATCAAATTTTATATTTTAAAAAGTTGGAATCACAATTTGAAATTTGAAATCTTATTTTTTGTAGAGTTTGAGATTTGAAATCATGATTTAAAGTTGAAGGTGAAATTTTGTGCAAATTTCATAAACGGGATAGTGTATTAAAAGTGACAAAGTAGTTTGTTAATTAGGTAGGAGTCCTCCAAGTTTTAAATATTAGGTAGAAGTGACAAATATATAATTAATATTAATGAAATTAAAAAATCTTTCCTCAACAGCCCCAAACTTTTAACTTTTACACTTTTACCCTATATTTTTTACCTCAAAATACCTAAAATTTCACTAAAATATATGAGAAGAAAAAAGGCGGTACTTTTTTCTCACCTGCAGCGTCTTCAACAACGAGCCTGAAGGACAACTACCAAGTCTTCAACGAGGCTGAAGTATGCTTCTCAATTCCCTTCTTCTTCTTTTTCTTCATCCTCATCATTCTTAATTTGTAAGCATATATGTGGTTTATGAGAAGATCTATCAAGAAAATTTTATGAAAATGGATATCAAATTTTTTTGAACCTTTTGCATTGCATTGGTTCCGTTTGATCTTGAAATTAACTCAAAAGAGCATTATTGATAAGTATAAAAATTAC